AGAGGTGTCATCTGAAAGCTCACATKGAGCTGATGACAAAAATAGTGACAGCTTTTGATTGACCCCGCCCATCATGTGATGTGACGTCATATGTGTCAATCTCGAAGTTCATCGGATGGTATTGTGAGTTATATTTTTGGAAAGACTGTGATCTCAGCATTCTAGACATATAGTATCATTGCTTTTGTGCTGTTATTTGCAAAAATATGGCAATTTTTGTGAAGCTGGGGAGGAATTTCTGTTTACTGATGGAAAGGATCAAATTCCTACTTAATTTGAAATATATTTGTTCTTCACAAATGAAATTCACACGGTTAAAGTTTATAAAGCAAGAAGATTAATATAATGTTTTGTATTAAAATAACACAACTGATGTTTATTTGCTTTTTGCCAATAACAGGTACAGGGCGGGGCCAATTATGAGAAAATATCCATTTTTGGATCAACAGAGCAGTACTACACAGAAAATATATATGGGATTGCATTTAAACACTTGATATGTTTCTACACCACTGATCACAATATTGAAATCCATGCAATCCCATTTTGCTCGTGTGCCATTAATATAAAAGAAAATGAATGAAATTCCAACTGCATTTTCCATTTTCCACTTCACTAAATCCACCAATAGTTTGAAAAGGATTTGTTGTAAATAAATGCAATCCACACAGTTGAAGTTTGTAAAGCAAGAGGATTCTGGAAAATGTGCATTTTGTGTCAAAATAGTACAGCTRAAAAGTGGAAAAGAAATACCATACATACATAATACAGCACATAATTGATTGTTTATAAGGGGATATTATACTAATTATTGCTCAATCCAAAATCAAAGCTATCTAGGTTGCCTGTTTGCTTTATGATTGATTCTTTATTTGTGAGCTATTTTTTGCGGGGGATCACATATTGAGATATATAAAAATGAACAATATTGCCAGCCAGCCTACTCTGCGAATAGATCGATCTATTTTTCTATAGATCTGTTCGCAGAGTACAGCCAGCCCTCCCTACCTGATAATAAGCAACTGGCACCTTACTTAACTTATTTTGTGAATGAGCTGCTCACAATTTTTTTTGTGTTATTCTGACATAATATTAATTGTTTGACGAACATTATATTTTTAATGCTTTTTTTATATTGCTTTTTTTTTGCAAGAATGCTGGTAAATGGTACAAGAATATTAACAAACAGGCAATATAACATATTATACGCAATATATTTTGGAAATCTGTATTTGTAAAATATTTGTTTGGCTGAGGAATTCTAAGTCATCTATTTACACCTGATACAGAGGGTCCTGAAGTGGGGGTTGTAATCCCATTTCCAAGTCTATTTTTCTTCATAATCCCATTTTCCAGTCTATTTTTCTTCATAATCCCATTTTCCAGTCTATTTTTCTTCATAATCCCATTCCCAGTCTATTTTTCTTCATAATCCCATTCCCAATCTATGTTTATTTTGAAAATCCCATTCCATATCATATGATTTTCCACATTTTCACACCATTTTCACAGCCCAAAATCAGGACAGTCCCATTCCCATTTTACCCCTTCAGGACCCTCGGCACAGGTGGATGTACTTATGTCAGTATTCCTATCTTAATTTGTACATTTTAAAATATATTTAAGAACACAATTGATTATAAAGGAAAACGATTCAGGGGAGGGGAGGTTTTCTCTCTTAAAGTCAGTGCCCCAGGTGGGGAACTCGGGGGTTAACATGACGGGGGGGGGGGGGGGGGGTTCCGACGGAGCTCCATATTGCAACCCAAAAAAAAATACACAAGCCTCAAATTTTAGACCCCCAAAAATACACGACTTGGAATTTCGAACACAAAAAATACAAGACTTAATTAAATCGTGAAAAACCGATTTATTGAATGCAAAAGTTAGCCCGGTGATGTCTGGTAACATCCGAAGCAAAAATGAAACTCGAGACCCAAAAAAAAAAGGGCGTTTTTAATAGACCCAAAAAAATACGTGGCAGGTTTCTTGACCCAAAAAAATACCGACAACGAAAATTTTGAACCCCAAAAAAATAGGTCGGACCTCCCCGTCATGTTAACCCCGAGTTCCCCCCTGGGGTCAGTGCTCTAGATTTCTTCTTGTAATGTTACTAGGATTTTCCTTTTTCTAATTTCTTCAAAGTCAATAATAAAGTTCACGCTCGGACAAGTATTTTTAGTGTTTTTAAAATATATTTGAATCCTAAATCCCCCCGTCTGGAAAATTCCTATATAAAACCCCTTTATATGTAAATGTATTTGGGTCGACACAAATTGCCCATTTAGTTCGCTCCACGATAGCACGACGGACGTATGAACCGGGCCTTAGGTGATGTTAAATTGWTTTGTTTCTTTGGTTAGTATGTAAATTTTTATCGCATCTATTCAATCACTTGCTGGAGAATAATTTGACCAGTTGTACATTTGTAGATATTCTAGGTACTGCAAAATACTTTTAAACTGCAGGAAAGCAGTTACTTTGAACATGGAAAAAGACTGACATCTGAACCGGCATTACATACATTAGGTTAATCAAAACCTTCTACAATATTTTYAAATGTATAACAGTATAGTAGGACTGAAGCAGATTATTTAATACTTACAAATTACTTAAGGTATCCGGTACGCACCAATGCATCTAGCACACACTGCACTAGAATCTCTGGCGGAGTAAATGTTTCTTCGTCAGATATTTGGAGTTTTTCRCTCMAATAAATGGCGTTTCAATGGGTTCTTCCCTCGGCCCTGTGTTAGCTAATATCATTATGACCGAACTCGAAAGGGTTATAGTTTCACAATTATTTTTTGATGACACTATCAAATTTTATTGTAGATATRTTGATGACACGTTAGTACTCGTTAAGAGCAGCAACATCGATTTCGTTCTCAACAAACTTAACTCTTTTCATAAGAATCTTSGCTTTACGGTTGATTCCTTTTCTGATAACAATGTTCATTTCCTTGATTTGTCTATTAATMGCAACATCACGGATCTTTACTATAAAGAAACGCATACTGGACAGTACACKTCTTTTGAGAGTTTTGCCCCGTGGCCTTTTAGGATTGCTTGGATTAAATCTTTATTTTCACGTGCTCATAAGATCTGTAGCAATGATAATTTGTTGAGCAAACAAATCCTAAAACTTAAGAAGTTTATGTCTTGGAATGYRTTTCCTGAGCGAGTAAGAAATTCAATTCTAAACCGCCTAGATAGATCTTCTAGTAATAACAAATCTCTTTCGGATGTTAATGAGTCTATTCCAACAGTTTGGATCATAGGAACAAGCACAGAAAGAAAAGCAATCTTGGATGAAATAGAAGAACAACTTAGTGAATCTCTCAAGATTGACAAGGAAAAAGAGGCAAAGCAATAAGAAATGGAAGAGGAGAAGGATGAATTAAAAAGAATCCAAAGTATGCGGGAAAGACGAGTTCTACCCGAGCCAATAATGGGTGACATCATTCGTGTTAGAAATCCCTCTTTAGGTCTTTTAACAAGAAAATTCAAACCATCTGCAACAATGCAAGCTGTTTATGATTGTGTAGGATCACTTTGTCTGACACCAAAACACTTTAGTTTTAAATTCTTATATCCAAGTGCAACAATATCCTGATGAATTGATAACCAAGCATACTTCAAACGTGTTGAAGGTAATGGAGCAAGAACACCTTCTACCTTTGTCTGTTCATGATGACATTGTTGTTATAAATAATGGTGGACCTCTCACGTCAAATCTTGATGACACACTTTGCATTCCCAWYATATTGCTAGAAGATGATATGCCACTATCAGAGGATGAGGCTGCAACAACTCGTCATTTCAACACACTTAACCAAGAACGGTTAAACTTATTATCAAGCCTAACATCCTCACAAACGATCGAAGTTAACAAGGAGACARTTGTAAAGGACATGTTAGAGATTTACAAAAATGCAACATTATCAGAAAAAACTTTGTACATTGACTTAAAGTCTTCAACAGATATTGCAATTGGAGATGGGGTTGCTAGGGAAGTTTTCTCCTTATTTTGGGAGAGATTTCGTATTAAATGTGGTGATGGTAATCAAGTTGCCATTCCTGTTGGACCGAATACAGACGATTACATTTGCTTGGGGCGAATTCTGAATTCCGTAATGTCACGTGACTTCCACTCATATTGATTACTCTATAATTACTTAAAGTCAGTTGTAACTAGACGAGGTAGAGAATAAACACGAATCATCACATCTTACGGTCTACTATATATATATATTCAGAACATGGTGTCAGAACATGGTTTCTACAAAACAACATGGCTTCAAATCTACAATGGGCAGCGCCCAAAGAATTATCGTTTCATGGGAATGTACGTGAAAACTATCGACGGTTCCACGAACACTGGAGTCTATTCGAGAAAACAGAATTAAAAGACAGTTTAGGAGAAATGCTCYTACTTTCTTCTCTGCATCGGAGAAAAATCTAGAGAATTCTACCACACGCTTGATCTCCCACCGGAGACTGAGACAAAAGACGGAGTGACGACGTGGAAACGTACAGTGCAACAACTACACACAGCATTCCAATAATACTGTAATCCACGTAAGAACATAACGTTCGAACGATASAAGTTCTTTACAAGAATACAAGAACAGACAGAAACCATAGATCAATRTGGTCGCAGGTCGCAGCTTCTAGAAAGTCGTCTCTGATTGGTTAATTCAAATTTTCTATTATTTTCAATTCTTATTTTTTTATACGATAGATCATTAAAAAGATCGAAAATTAAATAACAAATCCTATCATAATTAATATATATTCAGAATGCTCCATATTTTAACTGGTCTAGGTTAGAGTAGAGTATTTTGGTTAGGAATGAGGTTTGGGCGGTATAGCAAGGGGGTGGGAGGGGGTAGTCTCGGTAGTCTTGGTAGTCTCGGATCATTACATCCCTGTTCTTCTTAAACATAATACTCTGGCACTAATACTAACTCAACAGCTCAGAATACTCTACTTAGTGTTCAATGTCCTGTGAATCCGTATCTGTCTGGTGGTTTTACTGAACGTCCACTTCGGGTAGTGACTTGTGGCTTGGTCTGACCTTGGTCCGTTTCATTCGTGCCTGCTGTTGGGTTTGATGGCATGGAGCTTGAATAACTAGACAATTCATCATTAGAGGATGTTGGTGCTTCCCTAACGTGCTGGCGGTTGCGTCGTAACTCTCTGCCTGCTGGTGTTGTTACTTTGTATGAGCGAGGGAGGTCTTCCAGCTTCTCCTTGACTACAGCTGGTTTCCACTGGTAAGTTGTTGGATCCTGTATACGAACGTGCTGGCCTGGGAGGAGATTTRCTAGGGGCTTGTAACTTCTGTCATGATAGTAGCGCTGTTGCTCTTGTCTGTATTGCAGACTGTYTATGACATCGTCACTGTTATTAGATCTTTGGATTCTTCTCGGTAGATTGTCMTGTATTGCTCTTCCGAGAAGTAGCTCAGCTGGTGATTGTAGCTTGCTRTCAATAGGGGTACTTCKGAGACACATAAKTGCAATGTGAGGATCCGTATTTGTTTCTTTAGCCTTTTTCAGGGTTTTCTTGGTTGTCTTGACCTGAGATTCGATGAACCCATTGCTTGACGGAAAGTGTGKGAACTCGTCACGTGTTTGGAGCCATACTGTTGTGCAAACTTGGTGAAGCTTTGGCTGTCATATTGAGGGCCGTTGTCAGATCTTACTCACTTAGCTCACTGAAGATTTGCTTYAATAGACCAATTACTGTTTCACTAGTACTCTTGCCTTGCGGAATCTTTCTGACAAAAGGGAATTTGGAGTAATAATCTGCGACGAGTAGGTACTCGGATCCATCGAGGTAAAACAGGTCGGTTCCCATAATGTGCCAAGGTCGCGGAGGGACTTCTGTTGGCACTAGTGGCTCTTTTGTCTTCTTATCCTGTAACTCTTGACAAATGTTGCGTGTTTTGGTCATATTGTCAATGTCCTTCTTCAGATCTTTCCAGTAGACGGCAGTTCTAGCACGTAATTTTGTCTTTCCTGTACCTTGATGTGAAGCATGTAATTTGGAGAGAACTTCATCCTGTAAGTCTTTCGGGATAATGATTCTGTGTCGTTTCATTACCAACCCGTCTTCTATCGTTATTTCATCTCTGAATGGCCAGTATGGTTTGATGAGGTTGGGAACACTCTTAATGTCTGATGGCCATCCGGTGTATGTCTGTTCTTTCAGGACTGTAAGTTCCGGATCGTCTCTTGTGGTCTGTTGGATTCTCTGAATCATGTTGCTGCTGAATTGGGGAAATATTTGATGKATCTGGACATCCATGCCTCTGATTTCGTTTCCTGCAATCTCCATTGTCTTCCCAGGCTGATACTTTATCACGAGATCATATGGCTGTAATCTGAGGAGCATCCGTTGAAGTCTTGCTGGGGCCGCTGTCAGGTCCTTAAGGTGTATACTTTCTAGAGGCTTGTGGTCTGAATGAACCGTAAAGCTGCGACCAAACAGGTAGGTATGGAACCGTTCACAACCATAGACGACGGCGGGCATCTCTCTTTCAATGTTGGCATAACGTTTCTCTGTATCAGTCAAGACTTTGCTTGCGAAAGCAACATGTTTCTTGTCTTGTAGCAAGCTTGCGCCTAAGCCTTTAAGCGAGGAGTCCACTTGGAGGACTGTTGGTTTCTTTGGGTCGAAGTAAGTCAGAGTTACTTCTTTACTTATGGACTCTTTGATTTTGTCGAGAGCTTCTTGGTACGTAGCATTCCAGCAGAATGGTGTTTTTTCAGTGACTAACTCTCGCAGTGGTGCTGTTAAGGTGCTCAAGTTTGGAATAAAAGGAYCCATGTAATTGGCTAAGCCTAGGGAAGTTTTTACTTCCTGCTTACTTGTAGGAGGTCCCATCTGTTTAAGGGCTGATACCTTGCTTGGGTCTGGCCGGATGCCATCCTTAGTGCATATAATCCCATAGAACTTTATTTCGTTTTGTTTAATGAAGCATTTGTCGGGGTTTAGCTTTAAGCTAGTTTTTTGGCATCTTTCAATCATTGCGTGAATGTTGCTGTCATGAGCTGCTTCCGAATCTCCATATACCACAATGTCGTCCGCGATGCCGATTACACCGTTGCATCCTTCAAAGGTCTGGTCAATCCGAGTTTGGAAAATGTCTTGGGACATCTTAAGACCAAACGGCATAYGYTTGAATCGATAGYGGCCATATGGTGAATTAAACGTTGTAAGATAGCTGGACTCCTCGTCGAAGACAACATTCCAGTATCCGCACTTTGCAACAACGATTGAGAATACTTGAGCTCCACTTAGCTTTGGTAGAATCTCTTCTAGAGTTGACGTGACATGATGTTCTCTTTTGATTGCAGCATTCAAGTCCTTGGAGTCCAGGCACAAGCGGAGTTTCCCGTTAGACTTCCTTCTGTACACAAGGCTATTGACCCACGCAGTGGGCTCGCCTTCTTGGATTTTGCAGATTATGTCTTTCATTACCATCTCATCTAATTCTTCTTTGATTTCGTCTTTCATGCTGAGTGCCACCTTCCCTAGGTGGGTGCACTACTGGTGGCACAGATGGGTCGATAATTATGTTGTATTCCCCTTGGAATTTTCCGATTCCGTCAAAGCATTCTAGATACCGCGCGATAAGATCTTGCTTGTCTTTGATTGGTGCCGGGTTAGTTGGACGTTTCCTGGGAGAGAACTGCTTCAATTCGAGGTTGAATCTGASAAGRTCGAGCTCAGTAGCTGTACGAAGGCCAATGATCGCTGGGCCTGGTGTGAGAAAAATCTCGCGTAGATTACGAAGGATTTTGAAAGGAAAATCAATAGAAAATCGATATAAATTCGTACGACATGACGTAATAAGATGTAAGAAACAATATGGCGACGGGATATTGCGCTTGAATGAAAACTCAAAGAGTTATTAAGCGTTTTCTGCCAAAAATGGTACTTTTAATGACATTTTATTCATTATATCGCTTTCTATCAACAATATTGCCATCAAATTTGACTGAAAGTTGTATTATCTTTCCAGAATTAAACTCCACGCAGCCCGGAGCAAACAACTATTTGGCTAAAGATTTATTCGTGTTTTGCTTGACCTTCCAATTTTTTCGCAACAACAACAACAAAAATTCCGGGCTGCGTGCATTTGATAAAACATCCAAAGTACTTTTATATTTTCTAGTTTGGAGTAATTCCATTGCTAAGCTAGCGAGATATTAAGTAATTTTCAAAAAGCATGGCTGGGCTACCTGA